GCAGACATCAAACGTTAAACATCGTTCGACATCGTTTGCATTATTTGCACTTGAGGGTGGACGAGGAAGGGTGTAAAAAACAACGGAACGAAACGAGATTATGGCATGCTAGAGATTTGATTCGCAAAATTAATTAACACACAACGTGCACTGAATCGTGCCTGCCGCGAAATGGAGGAAAAACGCTGGAATGTGTATTCTTTCCGCGGCGCCATTCTCAAGACGTCCCGTTCATTCGACATAATGTTACTTATGCTATTTATGTTGCGTTTCACGCGAGTAGAAAACATGCCAAACTTAACTCGGTGCGCGGCCTCAATAATTAAAAACTCTTGGAGCGCGCATATAACGAATACACCGAACTTCAAACATAAATAGCAAATATTGTAAACCGATGTAATCTGGGAAAGATCGAGTTACAATGCTGCAACGTGGAAATACGTGTCTCATTGTGTGTTTCCTTAAACACAAATAAAGACAGAGATCATTGTCAAACGATTATGCAGCATTGACATCTGAATTTTCTAAGATTATAGATCAGTTATTCTGTCCAATAAATATCTACTTCGCGTAGCAAAAGCCTGCACTTCTCGATCTTTATCGTCGCCTTCCGCAGTTTCCCTAAATAACGCGCCACGTAGGGATGAGTAAGCGGAATAAAAGACTCTTCAAGCTGAACCCCTCCAACGATCGAAAGCAAAACCGTCTTTCTTCGTATATACCTCTCTATCCAGTAACGTCGCATACTACGTTAACGCCGGGTATACTATAGAAAGTAAAGCGGTCCCTTTCGTTATTATTTGAATGCAGGATAATGATATTATTTAGCGCTTGCCCTTGATCACCGCCAAGCACATGTTTGCGTGGTCAAATGTGAAAGCAAGCGACTACATGACGACTACAGTCATCCAACTTGGACGAGACAAATGCATTTCTCCCAATTAGTCAACTTGTAGAACAATTGTATCATAAAAACAATATTACGTGTATTAGACACAATACTACAATGAATAACAAAGTCGAAATGGTTGCATCTTTGTGTTCGACTCTTACAAAATCATGTAACGTCATTTCAAACTTTACGTGACAAATACCTATGTAAATTTAGAATAATTCTCTATACTCAATAAGTAAATTTATAAAATTTTTAATTTTCAAATTAAAATTTCTAATTAAATTTTCTACTGCAATACACTGAAGATTAAGAAAAAAAATTTTAACCCTTTTATTCCCTTGAGAAACAAAAGACGTCGATCAAACTATGATTTTCCTTAATTTACTTTTTAATCTATGTTTGAAAAGATGTCTCATGATTCTGAAATATACAAAATGTATATACAATTTACTCAAAAAGATAAATAGTATATAATAAATTTTTAATTGTACTATTAATTTATTTAATCCATATTAATTAACTATTCAGTTATCCATTAGATTTATTTCAGTCTCGTCCAAAACATGACTTTAATCGTCATTCGATTATGCTTTGCATGCTGCATAATTTTGATGTGTGCATGTAGCACACATATTCCATATATATATATAATTTTCTTTGCACTATCTACGAATCACTACATATATTCTTTCATTTCTCTTTTTCCTTATTACAGCGAAGATTATGCTGATTTGTGTTTTTATAAAGCTATACACCGCCAAAAGATACTTTGACACCACGATCGCGATTTATACGGTTTCCTTTTATTTTTTTCATTCCTTCATTTACCTCGACATTTGTACAACGAGAAGGCATTGTCGGCTCGTCATTGCGCGCTCACACTGTGATCTCAGATTGTTCCTGCCTTGTTATCAAAATCATATTAACAGTGGTGGATCATCATATCGCCACTAATAATCGGCGCCACGAATAACGATCGACAATAATAATACATCGCGCTGTATATGCACACGTATTATATTGCGTAATATCATTACAATACGATTTTCCGCTTCGACGATAAACGTTCTCATTCACATTTGTTTCTATTAAACGTTTTAATCTCGCCAGCCACTCAATTTACAGCGTAAACAGATCCAAGCAACAATTTTCTACTTACAATTATTCAAAATTACAATCAAATTTTCTAAAAACATGATAAACTTTTTTAAAAAAAGTATAATAAAAAAGTATAATGAAAAGGAAAGAGAGAAAGAGAAAAAGAAAGGAGAAAAAAAAACATAACAAATTTGGTAACTTGTATATTACATTACAAGAGATTGTGCGCGAATTATATATATTTATAAAATAAATATAAATGTATATGACTTTACAAATAATTTTCGAAACACTTGATTTTGCAAATTTGCGTATGTGCGCATGTCTCGAAATTATTCTCGCGTTGTAAATTGGAATTACCATCTCGCTATATATATATATATATATATATATATATATGTGTGTATGCACATGCAAGAGCACAAATGGAATTAAATGTTAAAACTAAATAACAGTAAAGCCCTTTTTAGGAGACTCTGCTCACTTTCTCTCTTGATGTCTTTCTCTAAGGAGAAAACGAGAAGCGCGACAAGCCGTTCTTGAAGCAACAACAAGGCATCTCTATTAGATTACAATGAAAAAAACTACGAAGTGGTGTCGATTTTTTTTTCACTTTCTCTACCTCTTTCTCTCGTTATTTTAGCTCGATCGTCTTTTCATAAATAATCCCTTCCATAAATACTAATAATATACAGTGTACAATGTACAGTGTGTATCCTTATGCAACCGGGAGGCTTTATCTAAACTATATTTGGGATAAGAAGTTGCGACAAGAATATGTTCCTAGTTTAGCGAAAGAGATTGAATACAATTGGATTATCTCATCTCACACACCTTCCTATAATATGATAATAATATTTACGTAATATTGTCCTGTTGCGCTCGGTCGCCGGTAGCTTTAGGCGCGATGTCGATCAAACGAGACAAAAATAAAGAAAATCATCAATTGTACAACGAGATAAAGCATAAAAGAGATATTTAAATACAACGGAATATTATAATTCCATCCACAAATGACCGTATGAGATAAGCAAAGAATATCATGCACATCTTTCAGAGATAAAAAGATAAATTAGATTTATTCATAAAGCATGCATTGAATGCGTGTACTTTCTTGACGTTTCAATTCTACTACTGCTAGAGTTTTTCTATAAACATATTTGTAATAAAACTGCTCGAATTCTTCCCGTTTGATAAATAATATTAGTAACAATATATTAATAATATATTAATAATTATTTTCTAATATTATTTAATTTTGAAATTAATATTAATAATGATCGAGTCGACTCGCGTCGCCGTTCTAGAGCTATCAGCGACCCTTGAAGAACTCTGCGCGATCTCTGCGGTCGAGGCTTGACTCGTAGCTACCGATTTTACAGACTAACTAACTGTCCCCGCGGCGGCCGGTTACGCTCAGAGAAGATCCTATACGTTTCATATTATATTATACAAAAATACATTCCGACTACGCGAAGTGTGAAATTAATCGAGAGAGCGAACGAAAAATGGAAATGTACATCGATGAAGGAAGGGAAGCGTATTCGTTGATACCAAGCCCGAGAATATATCTGGCCGCTTCCTCCACCTCGCATCTGCATCAGACATCTGTATCCGCTCGAATGATACTATTAACTATTTTCTCACTTCACACAAACCAACTTTACTTACAGATATATATTCGTTCCCTTTGATCGCATTCGAAAAACTTTCTCTCAACTACCCTATCAAATTGTATATATCTATTTATACTCATCGATATACATACGCGCTGGCGAAATTGAAGATATCGACACGAGAAGAATGAAAATGATTAATATACTCTTAAAAAAATGCTAAGAGCAGTAGAAAATATTCGCATAAATCATGATCAATATAAAAACTCAGTATCTACAATATTAGCTACAGTCTCTCGAGAGATCGATTCTACCAATGCCAACTAACATAAATTCATGCAATCAATTAGACCTTACTATTTGTTATTACATTAGCAAGATATCACGATCTAGAAAAAAAAATTGAAAATCACAAATAAAGTCAATCGGCATTGGAAAAATCGGTCTTATCAATCCTTTCTCGTGCGAGACGTAGCATAAAGAGAATAAATAGGAGAATGGGAAGGAAAACGTAAACAATATCAAAGGCGAGAACATATACATGCGATAATCCTATCCGAAATATGTGCAAAGCCGAAACAAAAATATCGCTCTAACGAGGAAATCGAAGATCGTCTACCATATACTACTTAATTTGGTCAATCGCTCGCAAGAATTGTGTCTCGTTGCAATCTTTTACAATGGGCTTTCTGTCGACTAGCACTGCATACATATCGTCGCTACATGGACTGTAAATTTTCTCTTGCCCCTCTCCTTTTCCTTTTTCGGCCGCAGTTCAGATCTAAATTCGAGCAACCGCGGATAAATAATCAATCGGTTATACAATATATACGCTATATATCGATAGAGTTCCATCGTATTCAGTTATGACATTTATAATTTGACGGAAATCGAGGATGTACCGACAAAATCCCAAAACGGAACGCTCGCAACTGGGTATTGACTGCATCGATAGTACCGTGCTTGAATCATGTACATTCACGTTGTATTCGTAATTGCGTTGCGTCAGCGTTCTGGCCTTACTCGTTTAACTTCGTTATGTATCTAATTAAGATATCCACGAACAGTATACAGATAAAGAACATTTAATGAGTCCATCTATTCGTTTCATTGTTCTTCCTATAAATATATGTATGTGTATATATATATATATTTTTA